ATAAATTAACCACTTACTTAATTAATAAAAAAATGTTATAATTAATAATTAATGATTAACTATGTGAATTGTTTTTGGTACAATATATATATATATATATATATATATATATATATATATATATATAGGCAGTTTATATTTACAAACTTTTTTTGTTTACAAACTCTTACAAACTACACTAAGTACGATCGGTCATACTTTAATCATGCAGTATACGACCGGTCGCACTTAGTGTAATTTGCAAAAAAAGTTTGTAAACGGATCTTATCTATAGGATCCTTACCACCAGTGTTAAACTTTAAAATTTGACATCAAATCCTAACCGTTGATTTCCACCAATCAACTGTTATGATTTCTGTCAATCAAACTTATTAATTAATTATTAATTCTCAGTAAATAATAATCATTTATTGACAAAAATCGAGGATTAGAATTTGATGTCAAATTTCAAAGTTTAACTCCGGTTCGGTTCAAAATGGTCTGGTTCTTAAACTGGCTCTAAAAACCGGTTCGGTTCATGAACTGGTTCTTCAAAAATCGGTTCGGTTCATGAACTGATTTTTAAAAATTGGTTATTTTAAGGGCGATTCGGTTCGGTTCATGATTCAGTTCAATTTTTTGATTATTTTGCACACCCCTAATTTTAGGTGATTTCGAATTTTATGCATAGATATGGTGAGATTGATACTTTGATCTTTGTTATGTGTAGAAGTGTTGTCATAGGTTGTGATATTGAAGTGGAACCGCCATTGAAACCCATTGAGGACTAGGGTTGTGTTCTTGAGTTTAAAGAACATAAGGATAAGCTCGTAAACCATGGCATTGAGATACTGAGTTTGATGATTTGATGATTTTGTTGTTCTGTATGTGTTGTTGATGGATTTCCACCTTGTGAATAGGTCAGATTATAGTGATTTGAGTCGAGAAGAGTTAGAGGATAACACCTTGAAAAGTAAACTCTTGGACCCTGGGGTTAATTCTTTTTGTTGTTCCACCATATTCCATGAGGAGTAATATTTTTTATGGATTGATATGCATTGCTTGTTAAATTAGGTATAAATTATTGGGTCACACTTATCTATTAAATATTAATTTTCAATAAATTATAACCGTTACATTGACGAAATGAACGGTTGAGATTTGGTGTCAAACTTTTTAGTTTGACACTGATGTCAAATATGATCTTATCCCTATATATATATATATATATATATATATATATATATATATATAAGATTTTTCAAGTCTACAACATAATGTGCTTGTAAAAATAATAGAGCGACTGTAAAATAAACATTTAAAGTATATAATAATAATTTTTATTTAATTTTTTGCCCACACGAATAAAGTGTAAGGCTCACCACCAAAAATCAATAAACTTACTAAATTAAATTGGATAAGTGTCTTATGATACTGGATCTTCAACATGCAAGATCAGAATGTGATACTCAACATGCAAAAGCATAACAGAGAGAAAAGACGAACACGAATTTAAAGGTCCTTTGCTTTGTGTTGAATTAGCTTATTATGTACAAGAAACGAATGGAACCAGTTTATTTATACAACTGGTTCAAGAAGAATTAAAAGAAGTAATCAGTGATTAAACCTTTAACTAACTTCTAACAGAATAAACAAAAGAAACTGACTAATATAATTACATTGGATTGGGCCCTGTTGTATCTTTTGGGCCCAAGTCATTAGAGCCTGGTAACACCCCCCCCCCCCACAAGCTTGAACTGGGTGATGAACATCAAGAAGGCCAAGCTTGCCAATAAGAGAGTTGAATGGAGAAGATAGTAGAGGCTTTGTAAAGACATCAGCAATCTGATCAGGAGTGGAAACAGGAAGCAGATGAAGAAGGCCAGAGTGTATCTTCTCACGAGTAATGTGACAATCCAACTCAATATATTTGGATCTTTCATGGAAAACCGGGTTGTGAGATAGATGGATGGCAGAGAGGTTATCACAAAAAACAGCAATTGGTTTCGGTCTTGGAACAACTAAGTCTTGTAAGAGGAATGATAGCCATTGGAGTTCACATGTGATGGAAGCCAATGCACGATATTCTGCTTCAGTGGATGAGCGTGATACTGTTGTCTGTTTCTTTGATCTCCAAGAGATGAGGGAGGTGCCAAGAAACACACAGAAACCTGTGACTGATCTACGGGTGTCTGGACAACATGCCCAGTCAGCATCAGCATATGCATTTAGCTGCAAAGAAGAAGTAGCATAAAAGAATAGACCTTTAGCAGGGGAACTCTTCAGATATCAAAGAACTCGATGAGCTGCTTCAAGATGAGCATCAGTGGGAGCAGCCAAGTATTGGCTTAGTTGATGAACACTGAAGCTGATAACAGGGCGAGTTGTGGTCAGATATAGCAGACGGCCAATGAGTCTTCGATATAGTGAAGCATCTGGAAGTAATTATCCCATGTCACGACACAATTTTACTGAAGGATCCATTGGAGTAAGGGCTAGTTTACATCCCGGTAATCCAGAATCAGAAAAGAAGCTCCAATGTATACTTTCTTTGATTAAGAAGAATACCAGAAGAAGAGTGTGAAACCTCAAGACCAAAAAAAAAATTTGAGTTTCCCCAAATCCTTGATCTTTAAATGACCATCCAGAAACGATTTTACCCTTTGAATTTCTGCCATGTTGTTTCCAGTGAGAACAATGTCATCAACATAGACAAGTAAAGCTGTAAAATGACTACCCTGCTGTTTGGTGAACAAAGAAAAATTAGCCTGATATTGGGAATAGCCAAAAGAAGAAAGAGCAGCAGATAACTTGGAGTACCACTGTCTACTGGCTTGTTTGAGCCCATAAATGGATTTGTGAAGTTTACAAACCAGAGAGGGATCCGAACAAGCAAGTCCAGGTGGCAAAGTCATGTATACTTCCTCATGTAAATCACCATGGAGGAAGGCATTGTTCACATCAAGTTTCTCCAAGAACCAATGCTTAACAGAAGCAAGAGAAAGCAACAGCCGCACAGTGGTTAACTTAGCGACTGGACTGAAGGTTTCAAGATAGTCCAAGCCTTCAATTTGAGTATAACCTTTGGCTACAAGGCGAGCCTTATACCGTTCAATAGATCCATAAGCATTGTGTTTAATCTTGTATACCCATTTGCATCCTATGGTACTTTTACCAGGTGGAAGGGGAACAGGACTCCATGTACTGTTTTGATCAAGGGCTGTAAGTTCAGTTCTCATGGCTTGCTGCCAAGATGTATGCTTGGAAGCTTGTGAATAAGTGTGAGGTTCTATATGGGTAGTGATATTGAGACAATATTTTTTGTAGAAAGGTGAACACCTGTCATAGGTTAGTACATTGGATAAAGGATGTGCAGTTTTGGGAGAAGAAGAAATACCTGAGATGAGTTGAGGAGCTGATGTGATTGATAAATTGCAGTGATAGTCTTGTAAGTAGTTAGGTTGTCTTCTAGGTCTGGAAGTTCTGCGTATGAGATCAGATGAAGGAGGATTTGGCAATGTGGGATCAGGTGAGACAGTAGGAATATGAGGTAGGATATCATTGGTAGGTAAAGGGGAAGGTAGCTGTTTTGGCAGTGTATCAAGATCAGAAGTAAAATTGAGATCAATAGGATTTTGAAAATCAAAATGGATTGGAGTTGGGTGACATAAAGTCTGAGGTGGGTCTGGTTTAGTAGTAAAAGGGAACACATGTTCAAAAAAGATGACATTTCGAGAAAGAAATTTTTTTCTGGTTTTGAGATCAAGAAGAATGTAGCCTTTAACACCGTCTTGATAGCCTAGAAAAACAGTTTTATATGCTCTAGGAGCAAATTTAGTTCTATGGGAAAGAAGAGTAGAAGCATATGAGAGACATCCAAAAACCTTGAGATGCATAAGAGTGGGAGGTTTCTGGTATAGAACATCATAAGGAGTGGAATGATTGAGCAAATGAGTTGATAAACGATTGATGAGATGAATGGCATGGGAAATATCATATGACCAGAATGACAATGGAATTTTGGACTGAAAGATAAGTGCCCGAGCCACATTGAGGATGTGTTGATGTTTCCTTTCAACAATGCCATTTTGTTGAGGATTTTCAACACAAGTTGTTTGATGCAAGATACCTTTTTCTTGATAAAAAGCAGACATGGCAAACTCGGGTCCATTATCTGATCTAACACATTTCACAGTTAAGTGGAACTGATTCTGAATCATGATGATAAAATTTTGTAAAGCCTTCCTAGCTTCACCTTTAGATTTTAACAAAAGTGCCCAAGTAAAACGAGAAAAATCCTCAACAATGGTCAAGAAATATCTATGACCATGAATAGATGGAGTCGAATAAGGGCCCCAAATATCAACATGTATCAATTGAAAATTAGAAGTTGTTTTGGTATTGCTATGTGGATATGGTAATTTGTGTTGTTTAGCAAATTGACAAACATCACAGGGAGCAATATTTTTAAAAAGAATGAAAGGAAATTTTATTGTCATTTGCTGTAAGGTAGAGTAAGGTACATGACCTAGTCTATGATGCCAAAGGATAGAGGCATCATTATTATTTACAGAATGATGAAAAATAGAAGAAATTTTGCTATTGAAATTGTGGTTGGTGTTGGTGGTCTGATCTCTACTTGAGGACCTCATCACATACAATCCTTCAACCAAATCAGCTGAACCAATCATCACATTGGTATGAATCTGTTTCACAAAACAGTAGGAATCACGAAATATTAGGTAGCAAGACAGAATTTTGATCAATTTTGTGACTGATATTAAATTGACATGAAAAGAGGGAACAAACAGTACATCAAACAAAGTTAAGGTTGACGAAAAATTGACAGTGCCAGAAAAATGAGCTGTGGTGTGTGAACCATCAGGTAAGGTGATGGAAATGGGACTGATTTTAGTCAATGTAGACAAATTAGAGGAGACATAACTGATGTGATCAGTAGCTCCAGTATCAAGAAGCCATTTGGAGTGAAAACTACCTGTGTTAGTGTTCATGGCAGTAGTCTAAATGAGATTGGTGGAACTGATTGGAGTTTCTTCAACTGAAGATCTCAATTGCAAACCCTTGATCAAATTTTGATATTCATCCTGAGAAATAGTCACCATGGAATCTGAATTATCACCACCTTCAGTAATGTCAGTATCATTTCGAGCCACAAAATTAGCATTCGATGGACCTTTTGGTTTGAAACCTTGAGGATATCCATGCTTTTGATAGCAAATATCAACAATATGGTTAGGCTTGCCACAGTAAGTGCAGACTTTACCAGAACCACGTCCCTTATTGAAGAAGGAAGGGAATCCACGGCCCCTGCCTCTTCCAAAATTCTGTTTCTGATGATTATCAGAAAAATTGTTGAAAACTCTGGTTTCTGTGTTTGAATCAACTAGGACTTCACAAAGCATTTGCCTCTCTTGTTGAACGATCATAGAGAAAACTCTGATTAAGCTGGGAAAAGGATCCAGCAGCATCACTTGGGATCTCACATGAGCATATTGCTCATTGAGACCTTTGAGGAACCGAACCACTTGATCAGGATCCCTATATGTTCTCATCAAATTGTATCCTCCACATGTACATGGATCATCACAGCTACAGGTAGGTAGAGGTTTTAGGTTGTCAAGTTCATCCCACATTATCTTCATTTGAGTGTAGAACTCAGTAACCAAACAATCACCCTGTTGCATTTTATAAATTTCTTCTTGCAAATCAGAAATGCGAAATATATCAGAATGAGAAAATCTTCCCTGAAGATCAGACCAAGCATCACTGGCTCGATCTATCCATAATATGGATTGAGCAATGGAACTGCTTATTGATCGATGAATCCAAGACAAAACAATCATGTTGCATCGTAGCCAAGTTGGAAATGTAGGATCATTTTCCAGTGGTCGTGCAATAGAACCATCAACAAAACCTAATTTGTTCTTAGTTAAAAGAGCCATAGTCATGGATCTGGCCCAAGAATGATAATTCCTCTCATCAAGAGGAGGAGTAACCAGCACCAAGCCCGGATTCTCGCTTGGATGCAGGAAGAAAGGATTACCTGGATTAGTGTAAAAATCTGGAAGAGCATGATGCAGATTCGCCATGGAGAAAACGAATCGGTGAAGAACAATAACAAAGAACAGTGAAGGAGAAAGAAAATTCAGCGGAAGGAGAAATCTGATACCATCTTATGATACTGGATCTTCAACATGCAAGATCAGAATGTGATACTCAACATGCAAAAGCATAACAGAGAGAAAAGACGAACACGAACTTAAAAGGTCCTTTGCTTTGTATTGAATTAGCTTATTATGTACAAGAAACGAATGGAACCAGTTTATTTATACAACTGGTTCAAGAAGAATTAAAAAAAGTGATTAAACCTTTAACTAACTTCTAACAGAATAAACAAAAGAAACTGACTAATATGATTACATTGGATTGGGCCATGTTGTATCTTTTGGGGCCAAGTCATTAGAGCCTGGTAACAAAGTGAACTTAGAGACTTTCTCTTTACCTTTATTTGAAAATATATAATTACAATTTGAGTGAGTTGCATTGAACAAATAATCAGACTTATAACAAGCAAGACTTGACACCATATAATTTAAACCAACTATAAGATTGATCAACTTCTCAAATAATAATCTGCACCAAATTAATTTATATATAGAGATCAAAAACTAATATTTCATCAAAATAATAAGTAAATGAAATCAAACAACATATGTGAGCAATAAACTTCCAATTTCAAAATCAATTTATATAAGCATATTAGAAATCAACACTTCACTAAAATAATATACACAATTGAATGTGGGAAATTATGGATTTTATCAACGTTGTTATGTCTTGTCGTATTTTCTAAAAACTCTTGCACTTTTGATTTGTGTTTTTTTATAGGTGATTCATGAAAGATGCTAATAGATTTCATCTATATATTATTTTGGTTCTATATTAATTTTTCCTACATATATAAAGTGATTTACAATCTGAGGATTTTATATATTTATCGTCAAATTAAATATTAATTTTATATGTTGTCACATCTTATTATTTACTAATTGAATTGCATTGCAACTCACCCCAATCTTTGTATTTTTGCAAGTATAGTTACATAGTTAACTTTTGGTTTCACTTCTCCGATTTTGTGGAAGTCTATTGGGTTACCCGTGGTCAGCTCGACACGTTATTTGGTGTGGATAAAAAATATTTATTTTTATTTTTTTAAAAGACTTATAGCTTTATATTCTAGAGTTGCTATATTATTTCTATAAATATGCTAATAGTAAATTTGATAAATTCAAGTGTATTAAGATAGAATTTAGGCTCGTCAGGCTAACCGATAGTAACATTAAATTTAGCGTATGCACTGATTGTGGACCTAGATTTGGGTCGTGATATTTAACATCATTTAATCTAAATAATTCATTAATTCGTGATTTTCATTCATAAACTAAGTATTTTAATACTAACTATTGTGTTCAAGATTTCATGAATTGTGGGTTTATCAAATGATATTTCCTTTATTCATGGTAAGGTGAATTTCTTATGCAACTCTATGATGAAGTTGAAAGGCAAAAGATCGAGCCCAATGGTAATTATTTTAAAGATAAAATAAGATATTTTGATGAATATAATTGGAGATTATTTGATTTGGGATTCAAAATCTCACTTAAGCTACGTGGCGTTAATTTTAGCCTATTTTCATTTTTTTACATTTCATGCCAATTACAAAAAATAATGTTATAAAATATTGTGATCATATCATTTACATTTTTATTTTATTTTTTAATCTTTACGGTTTGACTTAATTTGGATAATACTAATAGAGACATCAAAAAGAGGAAGAAAAATGCAAAAGAGACATAAAGTGGATTAGGAAAAAGAAAGCTTGTATAAACCTAGAGTACAAAAATTTATGGCATAGTTAATTGTAATTATTAATTTTTTAAGTATGCTATGTATATTTATGTATTTTTTTAGACTCTTTATCTTTATTCTTTTTTTTTTTTGGAAATATCTTTATCTTTATTCTTAATACAAAAGTTGATGCGTTTTCATGTGATCCAAAATTCATATGTTAGATTTATATACTCAGGCTCTTCCAATATTCCAAATGTAAGATAAGACTCGTCTAGTATAGAGCTACACATTTAACTTGACCATCAACGACACATATAGCAAGACTTTCATAGCAGTAGCTATTACTTCATCTTTTATAAGTGTTTCACAATATTTTATTAACTTCCTCTTTGGAAGAATTAGTTCGAATGAATTTTATTTCTAATGTCCATAGGACAATGCTTGAGATTTTGTTTCAGTTCTTAAGATTTTGTTTTTGATGTTTTTCTTTATAATACAACAAATAGAGAAGTTTTCCATGCGAAGGGATTTCATCTACTAAAAGCACTTCTAAATAGTGAAAAAAGTAATGATAGAAAAAATAAGAATGTAACATGTCAAACGATTAAAATAATATTATAATCTCCTTATGCTGAGCTCGTCGTGTTTGCTTCCAAATCTAATTCGAGTTTTCGTAAAGTCAAAAATCTAAAAGATTATTGTCACATATTTTTTCCAACAAAATATCATTGACAATAATATCACCAAATCTCAAAAACAAATTTGGTGTAGGATTGAGGTTTCCTACTACACTACCGCAACTCCAATCCTACATCAAAAAATTTTTGACTACAAAGTGAATGAGAAAAAGAAAACAAAAAAATGGAAAAAGAAAAGAAAAGAAAAAGAAAAAGAAATGAGCATATGTTATCATCATCTAATTAACTAAGAAGAATGTTGTTTAATTTTTCTGATGGAATTCTTGAGCTTGAGAATCTGAATCCTTCTCTGCCTTGCTTGAGCTTCCTTGTTTATACTCAAATCATTTTTAGCTATAATCTCATTAAACGGTTGACAAGAAGGCGAATGTTGTTTAATTTTTCTGATGGAATTCTTGAGCTTGAGAATCTGCATCCTTCTCTGCCTTGCTTGAGCTGCCTTGTTTATACTCAAATCCTTTTTAGCTATAATCTCATTAAACGGTTGACAAGAAGGCGAGAGGTTTATATAAGGAATTGCAAGTGGACACGTGTTAACATTGACCTTGCCCTTTGCATCAGAGGAAGAGAATAGCATTGGCAACGACGTCGTTGGATGGCCTGGCGAATAATGAAACTGAGTAACACCTACATTATTACATATTTGGGATGACCCAAAAGTCTGATTGAGCATCCTCGTCATCATCGTAGGTGGATAGTGTGACGTGCTAGGCATTTGCATTTGCTTATGCCATTGATGTTCAGCCATGGAATTGAAAGAGTTGACAGAGGCATTGACATGATTAGGGTTTTTTAATTCACTTTTGGGACCATTACTTTGTTCCATCTCTTTCTTTTTCTCTCACAATCCTAATTTTCTTTTTCTTGTGTTGGTGGAAGGCTCATGCATTGGGGTTTTATAAGAGTGGGACGACTCTATTTATAGGAGATAAATAATTAGATGAGTAGATTTAGAGTGAAATAAAAGATTCAGATATAGAAAAAAAGATTTGTTTGTTGACTAATGAACTTGTGTTTTAAGTGATTATTTCCTAAAATAGTTTGAGCAATTAAAACATATCAAACTCTTTCCGGTAATAGGTGTCTTTAACGGCTATCTTTTTTGACCTGTGAGAACGAATCACTAATAAATTGAGTTGATATAAAAAAGGATTCAAAGATTTCATAGCAATCTTTCTGTTTTAAAATTTTTTATAGCTGTATTTTTTAAAATTATTTTAATTACTGCACCTTTTATAAGTAATCTACTTTCCAAAATTAGATGCAATTAATATATTAAAAATTCTTGTAATCAATAAAAGATTTTATCAATTTGAATGATATAATATATTAAAAATTTAAAAGATTTTAATGATATCAATATATTAATATATTTTCTTCTAATCAATAAAAGATTTTATTAACTGTATCTTTATTTCAATTTGAATGATATAATATATTAAAAATTCTTCTAATCAATAAAAGAATTTATTAACTGTATCTTTATTTCAATTTGAATGATATAATATATTAAAAATTCTTCTGATCAAGGCATTGCGTATGCGTTGATGTTGTTGATTCTTGGCACTCATGCGTACCTCGTCCACTCTATAGACATTTCCTTATGCGTGCTAGGCAGAGGTTGTTATGACCCAACTAGCTTGGGTGTATGTTGATACAATTTTGATTCAGTATTTTCATTGGGTTGTAAGATGCGTGGAAGGTGTTTGATAAAATGCCTGAACGTTGATCAACATTTATTTGAGGTGTGGTGACATTGATGCAGTTCAAGGTGATCCTGCTTTTCTTCCTATTCTCCAGTTCATCTTCCTGATTATCTATTGGAAAATGCAGACAAGTATAAATTTCTCTTGCCTGGAAATTGCTTGATAGAGACAAGATAATCCTGGAAAAGTCCATTTATGATGCCGGTTTATTTGCAGCTTGAGCTATTCCTCATGGGGTTTTGATGACTGTTTGTTACCGGTACGGGTGTTTCAATGTCCAGTGAGATATTTTTTTGGAAATTGCTTGAGGAATTCTGTACATAAGTTGTACTTCATGCAAAGGAAAGTGCTGTTTAGAGAACATGCTTGTGGTCATGATGAACTTTGTGTAATTTTGGATTAGTGTGGCTGATCCCCTGATACATTAGATTTACTTTGAATTAGTTTCCAACCTTTGCCCGTTTGGGAAGTTTGGTGTTTCAGACTAATTTATTTTCTTTTCTTTTTTCTTCTTCTATGCTAACTCTGTCTCATCTGATAACTCAATTTTCGTCGTTATATAATATTGCTATCAGAGTAATACGCCGGTCCAAGTATGTTTGTCCCATTTTGCTAAAGCACGGTTTAGGTGTATCCAGAGTTGAAACTTGATATATCTTGTTTTGCTAATGGCCATAGCTATCAATTATATTGAACTTTTTATTTGATCATGTAGTCTGCCAACTTTATACAGACTTTCCTAGCTTATCAAAAACAAGGTGAAAGAGACAATTATCTCATAAACAAAAATATCATGTCAGTCAAAAGGAATGTGGCTGAGTTAATTTCTGATAC